GCCTTTTTTATTCCTCTCGTACCTCGTTAGGCATTATTTTTCATTGAACGCATAATAGGTTGGCTACTGCAAGCGCTGTTTTTTGGTCTTCTGAGTCCGGACTTCTGTCAACCATGAAGCTAGGCAACTCAACGTTTTGTAGTGCTGTCCAGGAGCTCTCTTCCATTCGCTCTATCACAGAACTCTGCTTTTGCCTTCAGAAGTCCTATTCTTACCACCTTGGAGCCCATGCAACCCATATAAGGGCTGTAGTCCGTCACCCGGCGGGGGGGGGGGGGGCTCAGAACAAACTTTTGATAAAAGTGTGCAGCTTTTCTTTTGTTTTACTTTCCATCACATTTACTAAGATTTCCTCTGAACATTCAATAGGTTTTCGTTCCCAATTTGCTTGATAAGATTCTTGAAAAACCACTGAAGTCGCAAGCGGCCGCAATACGTAAAATATGCGCGGTCTCCAACGTGTTAACACTACACAGAGAGGATGCCTGTCCGTCAGCATTCTCAGCCCCTAGCTGCCGGGAACATTGTAACCTTTTTTTATCTGAGGTCGTCGCGCTTTTGTTTTATACTACTCGTGAACTCGGGGCCTTACTCCAATGTAAAAACTTATCTTGATTTCTTCCTCTTCAGCTCCTCAGGGTTTTCAATGTTGTAAAGAAATCATTCCACGTATTACATAGGGGAACCAAAAAATAAATAGACTTTATTGCCGTGGTTACTTGTGCTCTGTCAGTACAGATACATGCGGCCGCCGCATACAAAGGATACGTTTTTGTGCAACTTTCTGGACACTCATCGAGTTTCACAAGAATGCTGGGTTGTGAACAAAACTTTCGCCCCAGACGGGACTCGAACCCGCACCATGGTGGGGTTCGAGTCCCCTCTGAGGCGAAAGCTTTTTCACAACCTAGCATTCTTGTGAAAGTTTTGTTCACAACCCCTGGTGGGGTACGGGTTCGAGTCCTGTCTGAGGCGAAAGTTTTGTTCACAACCCAGCATTCTTGTGAAACATTCGCAAGGCGAACTGCGGCCAAAAACAGCAGTTAACAAACAAAAACAACTCATCGCAGTATAGCTTCACAAAGGAAAAATATACCATTTATTGTGACCAACGTTGTACTGGCAGCAGAAACCAAAGGAAATGGCGAACGGTAGATGGGGAAGTCGAAAGTCTATGGAGCACGGGAGAGAGGGTTATAGCATACATTATACGAAGTTATAATGACCACCTCAGAAGCAACGGATCCTCCTAAATGAAATCAGAAAAATGAAGTACAGCATCATAATCCAGGATATTTCAGCCTAAAGTCAACCAGTACAAAAAAAATGAAAGCAACTGGATTTTTCAGACTGCATATATTTGGAGATTTTCGAGAGCGAAACTACACATTTGGCTAATTACACTGTTGTGGCCGAGTATATCGATGGAGGATCCTAAGGATAAGCGTGAGCTTTTTGAATCAAATTCCGACTTTCATCAGGCGCTGTTTTAGTTGCAGAATTTTTGAAGCGTCAAATCGATGACAGCTCACCGAGGAGATCCGTTTGCGAACAAGGTAGTGAATGCTCATCGCCGTCGTCATCTTGCTCAGTGTACAACGAGCAACACACAATTGCGTGACGGAGTATCTTTCACGGGTTCTCATCACCGCCTATCTCTCGGTTCTACAGTATCCCAACTATAGGGGTTATGGTTAGAGAGGCAGAATTTAGCAAAAAGGTCAGTGGTTTTACTAACCTTTTAGAGTTTCGGTATGTTACAGCCGCTTTCAGAAGATCTAATCCAACGTTCGTTCGGCCAACACCAGCGTATGCTGACGAGTCTTACGTGTTCCTGAAACTGCTGCAACGGCTCGACTATCGACAGGTGTGCTTGGTTTGCTTAAAATTCACCTACATGAAAATGATAGAACACTCCTTACTGCCCACTGATCAAGAAGTTAGAGGGCTTTAGCAGTCTTTGCGTTCCAGGTGGTCGTCGTGAGTGTAAAAGGAGATCGAAATGGAGAGCAATTTGTCGAGTTGTTCGAGAAAAAACGCAAGAAATACAAAGTGCACGTGAGTTTATGCCTGCTGCAATTTAAGAGTAAGTATATGTATCGAAAATCCAAAAGATGAAGTACTCCATGCCGAGCAATTCGTTCTGGTATGCGCCACGCATCCTATTCCCACAGAAATTCGTGGTGGCTTTTTGAATGCGATGTGGCCTATACAATGACTTGCGGGGGCCAGCCGATGTACAAGTCAGTGTTTTTTATCCTCCCAGACAAGTCTGGTACCAATTAACCGACCCCGGAGGGATGGAAGGCTTGGTTGGCCCGGGCGACTCACGACCCAGGATTTGATCCCCGGACCGCTCGCGTGGTAAGCAGCGTCGCTAGCTGATAAACCACTTCCGTCCATATATGTAAGGCACCACGATTCTAAGGGAAGGCAGAATGCGCAGCGCATCATACAAAAGAGTTTACCATCACCTTATGCTTTACCCCTCATGTTAACCTATTCATCAAACCAACATAATGTGCCCTATGTCTACCTATTAATCGAGTCAGAATTGTACGCGTCCACGCGCAAAAGCGCTATAAAATGAAGTGACAGTGGGAATTAACCACAGCTTTAAAACCTAGGAAAAAAACTATAAAACTTTCAAAAAAAGATGCAGATCCAGCTGTGGAGTGCGCCGCACATTTGACTTTCTTTCAACTCACAGCCTACCAATAGTTGAATATAATTCCACCAACTACTGTGGTCTTCTCCATAGAATTCCTATCTGTCATCTGAACGAGAAGACTGGAGAGAGCGCTCGATTGGGCGTTTCCTCTACTGCTGTGGGTGCGGTCCCGACCGCCACTATTCCATACCATCCTTTGAAGGGGAACTTCACAATTGCAATGGCGTGTTTATGTTTGTTAACTGCTTTTTGGCGGCATTTCGCCTTGCAAATGTATCACAAGAATGCTTCACAAGAATGGTTGTGAACAAAACTTCCTGCCAGAACTTCCAGAACGGTCCCAGGAACAAACTACCAACAGCTCGCCTGCACATCTTGGTTTCCGCAAGCTGCTTTGCTTTGGACAAGTGCGCTACCATTTACGTTACCGGGAAATGCTGGTTTGAGTCCCGTCTGGGGCGAAATTTTGTTTCACAACCCAGCATTCATGTAAAACAATGGCGTGGTCTTTTTTCTCTAGAAAACCGTAAGTAGAAGTGCGCTGTTCGCTAGAAAAAAACAAAAGAATAATTTAAGAAGTCGCTCAAAAAAACCTTTTCCAGATAAAGTGCTCATTTTGCATTTATCTACAATTCATCCTTGTGCTCACTGATTTTTGGGCGGCACTGGGTGCCAGCCACGCGGCCTCCTTTCAGCCTTAAAGACAAACTCCGGGATTAGTGAGATTTAAAGGGACAACGCCATAGTGAACGTGTCAGCCCGACCTACAGGGTCTGTCAGCTTCGTCGCACACAATGCACAGTAGGGCGCTACTGGTTGAGGACTTGAAATCATTGAAACGCTTCCCTTCCTCCGCGATTGATGTGGAGGTCAGGGCTCTTTCTCAGAGCAGTTTGCTTTCCTGGTATCATTGTCTCTCTTTGATCTCACGTATATGTCCGGAGTCTGCTTTGATGTCTTAGACTCATTTACCAAGTATTTGTTCATCCAGGGAAAGAGGTGTGGCCACAGTGGACAGTGTTGATTTCGGGCACTTTCTGTACAGCTTGAAAGTTACGCGGACGAAGGCGCAAGGAGCTGTCAAACCGCTAACTCAAACCGTCATCGCAGCCCACCTTCGCTGTAACGGTGGCCACGCCGGTGCTGCTTTGAAAAGCGCGGTGAAGAATTTGGGCAGCGTTCCATCGACGATCCATGGCAATTGGTAGCGGAGCACATGTCGCGTTAGGACGTAATCGTCATTCGCTTTGTTTTGTTCCCATTGGAATGTGGCTGAAATAGGGGAGGTCTCTGTACGGGGCGTAATCGGTGGTTTCGTTTGCTTTCCTTCTCTTCCGACCACCTCCCATGTCTAGCTTCATAACTGAACGCTTTTCGACACCTATTTTATCCCGAATCTTGCCTTTAAGGTACAAAGCTACATCAACCTAGGAAATCAATGATTTCGTTGAATTCCTCACTGTACCTGTGAGAGGCCGATTCGAGAGGTTACGGAAAATATTGCTCGGATACTTTACGCGTTTGTAAGTAAGATCGTCAGATTTTCTTTGGCAAAACTTGGGATATGACCCCCCCCTATCACACAAAGTTTTTTTGAAAAGCTTCCGTCAGGGCGAACCGTTGCGTTTGAACGGTTTAATTGTTCCTCCCGTGAATATTACAGGGGGGCCAAAAGAGTACTTTTTGCCGATGGGACGATCATCAAGTTTTCAATGGCGGATAGGATGACGCTTGTATTTGGAGTTATCGGCAGCGAAATATTCCTTAGATGTCCCCATAAGTAGAATCAATCCCACCTTCGCTGCCTCCGTCTCCAGAATATGACGTCATCTGTCATCACCGTCGAGCTCAAGGAGGCCTACCATAATCGCTCCATTCTGAAGCTGCTACATAATTTCTTCAATCGGATAACTGGTGAATGGCTTCTTAGAGACACTAGCTCTGACTATGCAAATGGCTTTTGACCAGCGTTTCAGAGACGTCGTAATCGTCTATGGTTTCTCGACGACCTCGTTGAGCTCGTACCGTGAACCATGTTTCCGTGGGAAAATCTTCTGATGTCGTCGGTGTAGAAGCCCCTATGTAATTTTTTGATAGAATAGAATGTGCTCTTCAATATGCAATTGAGCTCATTCGGTTTGGTTTTGGCAAAGTGTAATTAATTCTGTTTTGAATGTGAGTGAAAGTGACTCTTTTTTTTTTGCCCCCCCCCCCTGTATGTAGCTCTATGATGGTTTAGTTTCTTCATACTTCTATTCAACCATATTCAGCATTGTCACAAGGTTTCGCTAGGTATTGTAAAGCAGGAGTTCCAAGTGATGCGACGTTTAAAAAAACTAGGAAGAAAACTCGAAAAATGGGATCTACATTTTGCTCGTTTATTTTGGGAGCTGTCTCCTACTGTTCAAAAATGATACAGCCACCCGTGTTTCTTCGTTGAAATTCATTTTTGCTTCATGAAAATGATTCGCAGTTATCAGGCTTTCACCTTAATGTTCCCACAAGAGAAAAAAAGGCAGTTGGACTTTGAAAAAGGGTAAACTGTAGCAAAAAAGGACCAGGAATCGTCAAGCAGTCATATTGCGCGAGAAATTGAGTCAAAGCTCCAATACGGTTAACAATCTTTTCTGGAATCCTGTAGGTTATGGAACAAAGAAGAGCTCTGGATGTTCATCATTGCTTTTTGGTCAAGTTAAACTTCGCATTTTGGGGAAACATTTCAATTTCATCGAACAGTGCCCGGAATTTCCAGTCTTCTTTCAAATTAAACTTTCAATGGATATTGTTTGGGATGTGTTGAAGATCTTCCGAGGGCCTACTCTCTGTCTGCGTTTCTCCCAATGTTTTTCGCTCCATAGGAGTCTATTGAAAGAAAAACCCTTAATGAGGAAAGGAAAAACTCGAAAGAAAGTAAACAGAAAGTAAGACACAACAGACAAAAGAACTGATCTTGCTCCAGTGGACGTGGCTACACTTTCGAGCAAAAAATGTCTCAGTTTTCGAGAGAATTTCTTTTCACAAACAAGGTTTCTTTAATTCTCCATTGAAGAATGACCTCGGAAATCTTCAACACATCCCAAACAATATCCATTGAAAGTTTAATTTTGAAAGAAGACTGGAATTCCGGGCACTGTTCGATGAAATTGAAATGTTTCCCCAAAATGCGAAGTTTAACTTGACCAAAAAGCAAAGATGAACATCCAGAGCTCTTCTTTGTTCCATAACCTACAGGATTCCAGAAAAGATTGTTAACCGTATTGGAGCTTTGACTCAATTTTTGCGCAATATGACTGCTTGACGATTCCTGGTCCTTTTTTGCTACAGTTTACCTTTTTCAAAATCCAACTGTCTTTTTTATCTTGTGGGAACATTAAGGTGAAAGCCTGATAACTGCGAATCAGTTTCATGAAGCAAAAATGAATTTCAACGAAGAAACACGGGGTGGCTGTATCATTTTTGAACATAGGAAAATCGACCTCTTCTGTGAAAAAATGAGGGAATGATGGCGCGGCGAAAGGTTTGAGTGTTTCGGATCTCAGTGGTAGTTGCGTGGTGTGCGTAGAGCGTGTCTGCGCGATGAGAGATTAGCACATTTTCTATGATATTATTATTTAGTGTGTATTCTATTCCATTTATCAATAACCTCAGGAAGTTCCCTCAGAACTTTGAATTTTTGAACAAAGTGTCGGTCGCTGTATCGTTACTGAACGAGTGTGGAAAAGATGCTAACCCAATATCAAGGACCGGCACCCAGATTCTTATAGAAGACTTGAAAACATAAAATTGCTTTCAGAAAAGCGCACGCGTATTTGATTTTTGTGGCTGCTTCGGAACTGACCGAAAGGAACAAAGTGTGGATGGTGAACGAGGACGCCAGCAAAGCAAACAATGTTCCTGATGGTAAGCAAAAATTACTCTTTGTGGCCCCATAAGGGCTGTCGTTACCCGAAAATGTATCAGTTCGGTGACTAAAATAAACATCTTAAAGTGTTAGCGCTAAAGGCCGCCTCAGTTCCAAACTCCGCTCTCGCTCTCCGGAAATCTCAATGATACATAAATAAGTTCCAACGAAAAACACGTGGGCTGATCATTTTGAACAATAGAAAACCGGACCCACCTCCTCTCTGAAAAATGAGGCCAAAGTTTTTGACGTTTTTCGATCATCTTGGATTTCTGTTGTGCTTAACTTCGCCAGCATAAAATTTTATGCGACAATTTTCTCAAACTTATATCTCACATTGTTATTTAGTTATTTTATTTATTTATCATACCCTCAGAGTTCCTGCAGAAATTTGAAATTCTGAAGCAAACTGTGTCGCTTCCCGCCCCTGGTGATTCACCTTAACTGCAGAGCAGAGTTCGAGAAAACGACTGCCTGACCCAATATCCAATGGATACCGTGGACACACTTCAGATTGCTTTATAGACAGACTTCGAAAACATCTAAAATGTGCATATTCAGAATTAAGCGCAACGCGTAATTGATTTTGTGGCTGCTTTCGGAATTGAGACGGCGAAATGCGAAAAAAGTTGTGGAATGGTGACGAGGACGCGCAGAAAGCAAACAATAGTTTCGCTGTGAGTGTGAGTTCATACATAAAATAACTCTTTGAGGCCCCATGAGGGCCTTGTCGTTACCCTCCCAACATTTATCAGTTCGGGCCTAAAAATAAACATTTGAGGTGCTATCGGCAGCCGCCTCAAAGTCAAACTCTCTGCTCTCGAACTCGTTCGAAACTGCATATTGCCTCCCATACGGAATGGTCTAGCGTTTTTGAATTCTTTGAATGAGACGATTAATCCACCAGTCGAATGCGGAAAGGATCCAGCTCTTTCCGTATGGGCCAGCGACCATGGCCCACGTCTTCTTAAGGTCTGTGCCAATCTCATATTGCAAATGTAACAGCGTGGCATCCGCGGCATAGTCCCAGCAAAAGCCTCCCGGTCGGTGGCGTTCAAAGCAGAACTGCACAGTATGTACGAAGTTTGAAGAGGGGGAAACTTACCTACAAAAATACTAGACGGACCCTTCAAAGGTGTGGACTGGTGCGCATTCCGCAGCGAAGACAGTCTCCCCGGCAATCTAGCTGACCCTACCCGTAACGCTACGTCCGACGAGTGGATAACCACTGCCGCAGGTCTCCAGCCGTTCTGCAGGGGAAGCGCTAGCGTTGAAGAGGGCAACCCCCATGAGAGTCGCATCAATGCCGAAATCAACGGGTAATGAATGGGTCCCATTTTTGGGTTCTGGGTTTCTTCTCACGGTACTACTGACCACATCTACCTTAAAGGCATGGTGCACTCTTGGTAAGTAGTCGCTTCCCTAGATACGGGTGTGTGGTCCGCCACTGCAGAGGTCCACTTTTGCACATCTAAAGGTACGCTAGGCGCTGAAGGACTTCTATCAAACCCCACCAAACTAACATGGTCCGCCCACCGTTCGATATCTTGTCTGCGTCGCAATGTTGATCTGCTATGCTCTCTCTTCTCGGACTTCTCTACCCTCTCCGCGCTCACATTATCTCTCATCTCCCTGCCTGCTTCTTAGAACTTCTTCATAGCCTGAAGCAAGAAGGCTCACAGTTACTTTGTTTTTTGACGATTTTCACTCCTTTCCCCACTTGCAGTCCGAATCCCATCCCTTCTTTAATGTTTGAGTAGGATTACCGCATCAACTAAATCCTGTTTTGCTTCAGTTCTAATAGACTGCTGTTTAGTGGCATGCTAACTTCGCCTTCAAAGGCACCATGCGAAGGCTCTTTCCCCTACCCGGTGTAGGTAGAGGCCCGGTCTGCCGTAACCTCCTTCAGTCGGAATTAGGCATTCTCTGCCATTCGAAATCATTCTTGCTGTGACCCGCACCTCTTTTTTTGGTTGCAAAGTCCGATTCGTTGGTTAGGTCGGTATTGGGAATGCCGATCCCTCGCCTTTTTGGTAACTATAGCTAACCTTATTGCACGTCTGCATTGACGCATTTACCGATACGCATTGCCTGTCACCTGTATCACCTGTCGTCCCGTTGATCATCGAATTGCTCGAGCGGGCGCCAGCAACGTCTCCATTCGTCCCTGTCGCGTGCAAGAGTTGTCCAGTGGACCCTCCTCGCTCGAGGGACACGAAGTCCTTCATTCCTTTCGTTCAGAGCTTTCGTGAAGAAGTCTGACCATCGGGCCGGCGGTCGTCCAGGTGTTCGTTTGACGTCCCGAGGGATCCAGTCGGTAACCGCTCTGGTCCAACGGTCATCGCAAAATCGCATGACGTGTCCGGCCCACCTTATCTTCGATTCCTTGGCGAAAACGGCAGCGTCCCTGATCTTCGATCGTTGGCGTAGTTCGGAACTCCGGATTCCCCTCTGCACTTGCGTGTATAGGGTTACTCCTAGCATCGTCCTCTCGACAGCGCGTTGGATAACGCTGACCGCATGCTCGTCCTGCCTGCGCAGAGTCCAAGTCTCTGAGGCGTAGGTTAGGGCAGGAAGGACAGCGGAATCGAAGAGGTGGGCACGGAGCCGGATGTTCTTCGTCTTCTTCACTACTCCCTCGATTTTATACGCTCCCCAAGCCGCTCGTTTCCTCCTGCTCAGCTCTGGAGCTAGATCGTTCATCATATTGATTTCCCGACCTAGGTACACGTAGCTGGAGCATTCGGTGATGTTCGTTGAGCGTGAATGGGGCATCAGGAACCAATCCGTTTCTCATAAACATCGTCTTCGTTAGGTTCAGCTGTAGACCGACCTTACCACAGGCGCAGTCGAAATCAGCCAGCATTCGCTCCGCTTGCTCGATGTTCGGCGTTATAAGAACGATGTCGTCAGCAAAACGAAGGTGGTGTAGTTGCCGGCCGTCGACCTTCACTCCCATGTCTTCCCATTCCAGTTGACGCATGACGTTCTCGAGAGCGGCGCTGAAGAGTTTGGGCGAGATGGTGTCGCCCTGTCGAACCCCTCTTGACGTCGATGATGACCTCCTTGTAGAATGGTGAGATTCTGGTCGTAAAGTTGCTGTAGAGCTCACGAAGAATCTTGATGTACTGAGTAGGGACGCCCTGGTTGCCCAAGGCTTCGATGACCGCTTCTGTCTCCACAGAGTCGAAGGCCTTCTTCAAGTCGATGAACGTGAGACAAAGCGGCATCTTGCACTCTACTAAGACTAGAGAGTACTAATACGCATAAATTAATAAATTAACTAAATCATGCACCAGGCCCATTTCACCATTTAAGGCACAACCCAGGCAGAGGTCGTGTGAACGCTTCCCTTCGGTCTGTAGTATAGACCCCTAGAGGACAATCACAAATGTGGCGTTCCCGTGCACGGAAACCAACCGACAAGAGCGCTTGGGCCTTGCAAAGTGAAGCTGCAGATTTTTTTCTCTTATCAGGCTGTTGTCTGGCGCTCTCTCATCTGTAGCGCTCTCTCGCCTCATACTCTCCTCTCCGCGCTTAGTCTCTCATTCCCTTAGCACAGCCGATTAGGAAGGTGAGTGAGCCCTTAACCTAAGCGTTTTTGACGGATTCTTTTCCTTTTTTCTTTACTGCCGGCCCATTTCGCACCAATACATTCGCATTCGTGTGCAAGAGCCACACCAATGTGATCCTGGGGCATGCCTTTAAGTGAACCCATTTCCTCTGAGGATGACAAAAGTCTCCAGTTTTTTTTCAAGAACGGACCTTGTCTCGTGTCTGTTTTGAAATTTTTGCTTTGGATGTAATCATACGTGGTTTTCACTCGCATAACATTTCGGTATTCTCCTGCTGTTTTCTGCCACTTTTCCCACACTATGTAGAAAAGGACCAAAAAATGTTTTCAGTGCCATCTGCGCAACATCCACAAGTAAAATCACATACAACGAGCTCTGTGAGAGAATCAGCGTGGACTACGACATACTCAATTACAATGAGGGTTACAGAGAAGTTGGAGCGCTGGTAAGGAATTAGAGAAGAACATTTGTGATGTTATTTGGATTCGTACCAGTTTCACTTCCTCCATGGATTGCTAAAAACAAATGACCCAGTTATCAATTTTAAGACACATTCCGCGATCATCTGGGTCTGGTGTTGCACTCGAACATGAATGTAGATTTAGGCGGAGGAGGACGAAACATAACGATCGCTAAAATTGAGAACATGCTATCTTGAGCGGGTCTAGAACAAGGAGAGTCTAAGAGGCACTACCGCGGGCGAGGGAAGAGGCTTGTGGAGGGAGACCAGGTTTCGTGTGCAGCAAGGTTCAGCCTAGTATGGGTCCTCGTCCCCGACCAGGGACAAACCCTCCTAGTCTCAACTTGAGGGATTGGCCTCCAACGGCAGATCGAAGAATCTATGGCAATGTTTCAGGGCTTCTGAAACCATGGCGAACGAATCGCTCAAGTTGAGACTAGCGAGCTTGGTTCCCGTCGGGAACGGAGAACTACCACTGCCATGCCTGCTGCACCCGTCCCCAGGAACGGTGTGGAACCCGTGTATGGGCCTGCATGGCTCTTTTGGATATTCATGTCTGCAATTCTGACGGCCCTATGCTTCCTGCCACGCGCTTTGAGTGGCACCATCTTTGCGGATGGGAAGCTAGCAGCCTCATTTGGGAGGGGGGGGTGGAGCTTGGTTCATCGACGGATCGCTAGGTGTAGCTTCATAATCAGAACCGATTCAAAGTAGGGACGAGACTGATTAACATCGCGTTGTCAGCTCTGAGAACTACTACATATAAGCGCAACATAACTGAGTAGGAACCTTGGAAAGATTCACAAGTGGGCGTGGTTTCCATTAGCGCCCAAACTGTGGACAATCTTTGGGTTGAAAGTTTCCTGTCGTCTCTGATACTTTGAGATTGCAGCATGGCTCGAGTCTTCGCCTATCTGAGCAAACGATCCACTTGGGCTGGAGGTGGCGCGAAGCCGCTGGAGATCAGTCTCCCGAAACACCTTCGAGCTGTCACCATTCACGATCCACCGTTCGTTTACACCACTCCAATCATTTCCCTGGCCGAATGCAAGAACCTTGGAACTGTCGCCATCGAGCTCAGCAAAGCAAACGTGGTTAAAGTGGTGAGTTCATTTGACAGTCAAATCGGTTATCTGCCTCTCTAACTCAACGTTTACATGACTTGTGAAGGACGGACCATGGTACCCTTGCCCGAAATACGGCTACAACTACACCTCCCATCACTGCTGTGCCGGTTATGCAATAGATTTGCTGTCCAATCTATCGCTACCAGAGGTAACCGCTAGCGGATTTCTGTACTGCTAGAGATCTTGAACGTTTTCCAGCCGAACACAACAATTGACACGAGTTTCACGTTCTCATTGCACTTGAACGACAGCTATGGCGCTGTTATTCTAGGAGAAAAGGTAGCTATTTCAAACCACTCCTACTCTTGTTTGATCTTCAGTGAAGAAATTGTGAGGAGCTGATTAAGGGTTACATTTTGACTGCTGCACTGGG